TTTAGGGTTTAGGGTTTGGGGTTTAGGCTGGGCAAGCTGGAAGCACAGCACAGGGTGGGGCGTCGTGAACTTTCGGAGGAGCTTGAGGGTTTAGGGTTCAGGGTTTAGGGTTTAGGGTTTAGGGTTTAGTTGGGGGTTAGGGTTTAGGGTTTGACTTCGTGCAATTGCTGTTGCTGCTGGTGTTGCTGCTGCAGTGCACTAGCTTGCGTGCTGCAGCAGCAGTTATTTGCCGCTGCAGCAACAGCATGCGCAGAAGGCTCGCAGTGCAGCAGCAGCAAGAGGCTCTTCACATCCGCAGTCTTCTCCCTCCCGGTACGGCTGAGGGTTTAGGGTTTAGGGTTTAGGATTTAGGGTTTGAAGTGAAGGGTTTCGATTTAGTGTTTGGGATACTCGCGGGTTTAGGATTTAGGGTCTAAAGTTTGAAGCGGGCTTTTAAGGTTCACACTTTCAGTGTGGGGTGTAGGGTTAGGGTTTAGGGTTTAGGGCTAAGGTTTAGGGTTTAGGGTTTAGGGTTTAGGGGATTTAGGGTTTAGGGTTTGTGCCCAGGCTCCGACCCGAAGCTGATTGCGCCTCCGCATCCTTCCCACCAGAGCCTCGCGCAGCAAGCCCGCCGTCACTTCGTAAACCCTAAACCCTATACCCTAAACCCTCGTTTTTAACACTGCTCAAACCCTATACTCTAAACCCTCACCTGGGGCCATTTCGCTGTTGAAGAGTGTTTAGGAAAAGCAGCGCAAAGTGCGGTTTGGGGTTTAGGGTTTAGGGTTTAGGGTTTAGGGTTTGAGATTTTAGGCGTTGTTTGAAAGAGGCGACAAGACTGCAGATGTTGCATCAGCAGATCCGCAGGCAGCCGCAACAGCAGCAGCAGCAACAGCAGCAGCCCCTGCAGCAACTCCTGCAGCGGGCGGCGCTGCTGGTGCTGCTCCTGCAGCAGCAACAGCAGGAACCACAGCAGCAGCAGCAGCAGAATCGCCAGCAGCAGGGGCAGCGACGCCGCCCGCAGCAGCAGCAACGCCAGCAGCAGCAGCAGCAGCAACTTTGCTGCCATGGCTGCAGCTAGCAACGCATGCGCTGCAGCGGGGAAGGCAGCAGCAGCTGTTGCTGGGGCCGCAGCAGTTCAGCAGCTGTGGGGTGATGCCTCCCCATCCCCGGAAGCCTCAGCTGCCTGTAAACCCTAAACCCTAAACCCTAGAGCAGCAAGCAGGCAGCCCAGAGATTTAGTTCTAAACCCTAGGGCCGGGAGAAGGGCACATTCTCGGCTACAGTTTACGGACTAGAGTTTAGGGTTTAGGGTTTAGGGTCTAGGGTTTAGGGTTTGCAGTTTACTAGGGTTGGGGGTCTCTGCCTGCAGGAACAGTACATATTGGCGCTGCAGGGCCGCAGCAACGAAGAAGCTGCTTCAGAAGCGAAGCCTGCAGCAGCAGCAGCAGCAGCAGCAGCAGCGGCAGCAGCAGCAGCACCAGCCACAGCAGCGGCGCAGGCAGCAGCAGCAACCGCAGCAGCAGCAGCAGCAGCAGCAGCAGCTCCAGCTGCAGCAGGCTTGCCTCAGGACACCTCACCATCGGACGCAGTCAGGGAGCAGCAGAAGATGCTCGCGCAGCAGCCGCTGCTGCAGCAGCAACAAATGCTGCAGCAGCAGCCAATGCTGCAGCAGCAGCAGATGATGCAACAGCAGCAACTCCTGCAACAGCAGCAACAACGCCCTGTTGGTAAGTTCATAGGGGCCTTTCCCCAGCTGCACTGCCAACTCCCTAGGCCGCAATCTAGGGTTTAGGGTTTAGGGTTTAGGGTTAAGCAGCAAGAATTGGGGTGCATTTGGTATTGCTGCTTCTGCAGAGTTTGCGACAAGCGGCTCTATGGAGGGAGACGCAGCAGCAGCACCAGCAGCAGCAGCAGCAGCAGTAGGCGGTCCGCTTTTGCCGCCGCAGCAGCAGCAGCTTGTCCCCGAGCATATGCAGCAGCAGCAGCAGCAAATGGCTCGGGTGGTGCAGCCTATTCAGCAGCAGCAGCACATGCTTGCTGCGAGCGGGCCGTTGCAGCAGCAGCCGCATCTTTTGCCAGCAGCAGGGCCTCATCAGCAGCAGCAGCCGTTGCTGCAGCAGCAGCAGCAGCTGCGCCAGCAGCAGCAGCAGCAGTGGATTGCAGCGCAGCAGCACGCTGTGCCTATGCTGATGCAGCCGCAGCAGCACATGCTGCTGCAGCAGCACCAGCAGCCTATGCCCTATGGCAGCAAAACACATACTGCACAGCAGCAGCCGCTGGAGGGAGCCTACGATCTGCAGCAGCTGCAGCAGCTGCAGCAGCAGCAGTTGCAGCAGCTGCAGCAGCAGCAGATGTTCTCGCGCTCGCCGTATGTGCAGCAGCAGCCGCAGCCCCAGGCAGCTGAGGACGTTGCAGACGCAGCAGCAGTAGCAGCGCAGCAGCAGCAGCAGCAGCAATTCCAGCGCCCTATGTACCTGCAGACACCTCCGCAGCAGCAGCAGCTGTCTCCCTATCCTGCAGCACAAGCGCAGCTAGCAGCAGCACCAGCAGACGGCAGCAACCTGCAGCAGCAGCAGCAGGCTCTTGCTGGTGCGCCTATGCAGGGCTATGCCCCGCAGCAGCTGCAGCAGCAGCAGCACCAGGTCTATCTGCAGCAGCAAGCAGCATTTCAGGCTTCTCACGGCCACCAGAGGCACTTCGCGCCGCCACCGCAGCAGCAGCTGCAGCAGCAACAGCTGCAGCAGCAGCAGCAGCAGCAGCTGCAGCAACAGCAGCTGCAGCAGCAGCAGCTACACCAGCAGCAACTGCATCAGCAGCAACTGCACCAGCAGCAGATGCATCAGCAGCAGCAGCCGCAGCTCATGTGCCACGATCAGAATCCTTTTGGTGCGCAGCAGCAGCAGCAGCGGTTTGTTGCAGCAGCGCCGCAGCACCAGCAGCAGCGTTTCGCAACAGCACCAGCAGCACCTGGGCCATCCCAGCAGCAGCAGCAACGACTGCCCCAGCAGCAGCAGCAGCAGCTGCAGCAAGCTGCATTCGCCCCGCAGCAGCAGCAGCAGCCAGGGTTCTACCCTGTTGCCATGCAGACACCGCAGCAGCAAATTAATGGCTCAGCGGAGCTGCAGCACTTGCAGCAGCTGCAGCAGCAGCAGCTGCAGCAGCAGCAAATGCAGCAGCAGCACGTACAGCAGCAGCACATGCAGCAGCACCACATCCAGCAGCACTTGCAGCATCAGCAACTTCAGCAGCAGCAGTTTAGGCAGCAGCAGCTGCAGCAGCAGCAGCATTTGCAGCACCAGCAGTTGCAGCAGCACCAGCTGCAGCAACAGCAGTTGCAGCAGCAGCCGCAACAGCTGCAGCAGCACCAACTGCAGCAGCAGCTGCAGCAGCAGCCGCAGCAGCTGCACCAGCAAGGACTGTCCCCAGCGAGCCAAAGGCACCTATCGAGCAGCAGCAAGAGCAGCAAGAGCGCGTCACGTTCGAAGAGGCCGCAGCAGCAGCAGCCGAAAGCTGCAGCAGCTGCAGCAGCAGCTGCTGCTGCAGCAGAGCAGCAAAGTGCTGTCGGTGCTGCTGTTGGCGGGGCGCCTCTGCATGCAACTCAGGGAGCTGTTGGCGGTCTTCCTGCTGCTGCTCACCAGCAGCAGCAGCACATGCAGCATCAGCAGCGGCTGCAGCTGCAGCAGCAGCACTTGCAGCAGCAGCACCAGCTCCAGCACCACCGGCAGCTGCAGCAGCTGCAGCAACAGCAGCTGCAGCAACAGCAGCTGCAGCAGCAGCAGCTACAGCATCAGCAGCTTCAGCAGCAGCAGCTGCAGCAGCCGCCCGATTTCGCAGTTCACCCTTTTGCTGCACAGCCTGTAGGATACGTGGACGCGCAGCAGCAGCAGCAGCCGCGGCGCTCAGGTGCTGCTCGTCCTGCTGGAGCTTAAAGGTGCCTCCTACAGCGCAGCTAGCTGGGCAGCTAGCTAGCTAGCTAGCTGGCTGGCTAGCTAGCTAGCTAGCTAGCTGATTGCACAGAGCCAGCTAGCGAACTGACGCGCAGCTGCCCACTAGCTGACCTTGCTGCTGTCGTTTATGCCAGCTCGCTAGCTAGCCAGCTAGCTAGCTAGCTAGCTAGCCGGTTAGCTAGCTAGCTAGCTGGCTAGCTAGCTGCGCAGCATGCCATTACTGTGGCGGCCCCGCTGCGTAGCTAGCTGGCTAGCCCAGCGTGCAGCTGGCCGGCTTGGCGCCTGGCTAGCTAGCTAGCTAGCTAGCTAGCTGGCTTCGCAGCTAGCTAGCTAGCTAGCTTGCCTCGCAGCTAGCTAGCCGGCTGGCTAGCCACGCAGCTACGGCCGGAGCCCTCCTGCAGCGTTTGCTGCTGCTGCGCTTGTGTATGTCCTCCCGGAGCAACGCAGCATCAGCAACTCCAGCTGCAGCAGCAGCAGCAGCAGCAGCAGCAACGGACTGCCTAGGGGGCAGGCCTGCTGTGCTGCAGGTGAGGCTCTGAGCAGCCGCACAGATTTCCTTTTGGCGCTTTTCTGTCTCCTCCCGTCTAAACCCTAAACCCTAGGCTTCGCTTTAAACCCTAAACCCTAGGTTTTGCTTTAAACGCTAAACCCTAGGTTTTGCTTTAAACGCTAAACCCTGGGCGTTGCTTCAAACCCTAAACCCTAGGATTTCTCCAAACTCCAAATCCTAGGCTTTGTTTTAAACCCCAAACCTTAGGTCGTGGCCAGTGACGCAGCAGCAGCAGCAACAGCATCTGTAGCAGCAGCAGCAGCAACGGCAGCAGCAGCAAGGGCAGCAGCAGCAACGGCAGCAGCAGCGACAGCAGCAGAACCAACAGTAGAAGCAAATGCAGCAACGATAGGATCAAAATCAGTTACAAGGGCACACCAGCCGCCTCTACAATAGCAGAGCAGCAGCAGCAACAGCAGCAGCAGCAGCAACAGCAGCAGCAGCAGCAGCAACAGTAGCAGCAGCAACAGCAGCAGCAGCAACAGCAGCAGACGCAGATGCGTGGCTTGAGCTTTGCAGAATTAGTAATTTTCGTCTTCTGAGAACTCCAAAGGGGTTTCTGAGGAAGAAAGAGAGAGTTGGGGTGTATAGGCAGCTCTGTGGGGTGTATAGGCAGCTCTGTGGGGTGTATAGGCAGCTCTGTGGGGTGTATAGGCAGCACTGTGGGGTGTATACGCAGCTGCTGAGAAGCTAGGGGGCCTCCTCAGCAGGTCATGGAGGCTGCTGCTGCTGCTGCTGCTGCTGAAACGCTTCCAGTCCATGTCTTGCTGCAGCAACCTGGCCCTCCTTGCTGCTGCCTCCTCTTCGAATCGCTGCTGCTGCTGCTGCAGCCGCTGCTGCTGCTGGTGGAGTGACCCGGAGCGTTTATAGTGGGGGACTTTCTCTGCTGCTGCTGCCGCTGCTGCTGTTGCTGTTGAGTCAAATTCGTACGGGCTACCCAGCCCCCCATATTGCTGCTGCTGCTGCTGCTGCTGCTGCCCCCGGCGGTGGCGCCTCCGGCTTTGCTGCTGCTGCTGTTGCCACTGCTGCTGCGGGCGAGACTCCTGCTGCAGTGGGGGCTGCAGGGGTGGAGAGCCGAGGGAATTCGGTGCAGCAGCGGCAGCAGCAGCAGCAGGGGGCGTCGCAGCATCGGCAGGAGCACCAGGTGCAGCAGCAGCAGCAGCAGCAGCGGGCGATCCGAGGACGTAGTGGGTGCGGTACTGCCGCTGCTGCTGCACCCTGAGCCTCTCCTGCTGCTGCTGCTGCAGCCGGTTAAAAGGCTGCTTCAGCTCCTCAGGATAAGAAACTCCAGCAGCATTTGGTGGGGGGCCCCTGTAAGTGGGCGAAGGTGGTGGTGGGGGAATATAGAGTGGGGGGATCATGTGGGGTTTGCTGCTGCTGCTGCTGTTGTTGTTGCTGCTGCTGCTGCGGGGCTGCCCCGACTGCAGCAGCTGCAGCTGAACGGACAGCGGGGGCGGAGGCGCCGGCACATAGGAGCAGCAGCTAGCAGCAACAGGCGGCAGCAACGGGGGGTGTGCTGCTGCGCAGCAGCGAGCGCGGTCTCCAGCTGCAGCAGCAGCAGCAGCAGCAGCAGCAGCAGCAGCTGTCAGCCCAGAGCACCGCCTGCTGCTGGAAGCACTTCGCAGGTCGATGCTGTGCAGCGGTTGGGGGAAGGGAGCAGCAGCAGCCGCAGCAGCAACAGCAACAGCAGCAGCATTAGCAAGCACTCAACCGCATCCGGAGCAGCAGCAGCAAACACAGCAAATACATTAATGGTAGCAGCAGCAAAAGCAGCAGCAGCAAATGTACATGAACGTCTTCTGAAGCCAAGCTTATCTTTAACCCTCTCCATTAAGCCTCGTCGGGGCAGAGCCACTGCAGCAGCAACAGCAACAGCAGCAGAGACCGCAGCAGCAGCAACAGAGAGGGATGCACAAGCAGCGAGCAGAAGTGGCTCGTTGCAGCCGCAGCAACAGCAGCAGCAACAGCAGCAGCAACGCAAACAGGAGCAACGATCACAGCAGCAGCACGAGAGCCATGCGAGAGTAGCAACAGCAGCGGAAGCAGGGGAAGCAGCAGCAACAGCAACAGCAGCAACGGCAGCAGCAGCAACAAAGCCTCATGTGGGGAGCAACCACTACGTAAATGTGCTGAAGGCAGAATGCAACAGCAGCAACTGCTACATCAGCAGCATGGAGTGCGGCAGCAGCAACAAAAGCAGCAGCAGCAGCATCAGCAACAACAACGGCAGCAGTAGCATCATTAGCGCCAGCAGCAACAGCAACAGCAACAGGAGCAGCAGCAGCAGCAGCAAGACAATGGTTCTCACCGACAGCCCCAGGAGGTAAATGGTGGTGGCGGCAGCCAGCGGAGGCAGCAGCAGCAGCAGCAGCTGCTGCTGCTGCAGCATCTGCTGCTTCCGCCGCGTGTGCTACTTGTGCTACCTGCGCTGCTTCTGCTGCTGCTGCTGCTGCTGCTGCTTCTGCTGCTGCTGCTGCTGCGTTCCGGCGGACAATATCTGGGGGGTCACTGCGATCTAAAATGAGTTCTGCTGCAGGGGCCCTGAAGTGCACTGACCGCCTGCAGGGAGCAGCAGCAGCAACAGCAGCAGCTGCTGCTGCTGCTGGAGACGCGTAAGGCGGTGGCGAAGGCGATATCAGTACGTGCTGCTGCTGCTGCTGCTGCTGCTGCTGCTGCTGCTGCTGCTGGCAAGGACGGTGCGCAGGAGGGGATCCACCTGTGCAGTGGGTGCAAGGGGCTGCAGCAGCAGCAGGAAAAGCAGCAAAAGCAGCAGCATCAGCAGCAGCGTTCGGAGCTTCTTCTGCTGCTGCTGCTGCTGCCGTGGGCGGGCAAGGCGGAGACCCGAGACGACTGCTGCCTCGTTGGGGACGTTGCTGCCACGGCTGCTGCTGCCACTGCTGCTGCTGCCGCTGCTGCTGCTGCTGCTGCTGCTGCTGCTGCTGCTCTTTCCTGTGCCGCGATGCAGCAGGTGGCTGCGGCAGCGGGTCGTTAATGGGCAGCGGAGGGACAGAGCAGCAGTGCAGCGCCAAATCTGTGTCCGGCCCCACAGGCCCGTCTTGCTGCTGCTGCTGCTGCTGCCGCCGCCGCTGCTGCTGCTGCTGCTGCTGCCAAGGGGAGTGCACATGCCGAGGTGGCTGCTGGCGGATCTGCTTCTCGCGCTGCTGCGGGTGCGGCCAAGGCGGGCTGCTGCAGCGGCTGCCGTGGTTGTACAGAGCTTGCTGCTGCTGCTGCTGCTGCTGCTGCTGCTGGAGGTGAGCGCAGCAGCCGCAGGCTGACTGGCTGCTAGCCCCATTTAAGTGTGCTGCTGCAGTCTTCTGCAGCTGCTTCAGTCCTGAGGAGATCTGCTGCAGCGAAGACACAAGCGTCTGCAGCAGCTGCTTGTCTTCCGAGAGCCCGCCCTCACTAGCTGCTGCTGCTGCTGCTGCTGCTGCTGCTGAAGCACCTGCAGCAGGAGATGCCGGTTCGCCTAAGCGGGGCAGCACAGGAAGAGGAGGAGAGGGCAGCAAAGAGGCCGGGCTCCCGCAGCAGCACGGGTTCTGCTGCTGCTGCTGCTGCTGCTGCAGTTGCTGCTGCTGCTGCTGCTGCTGTTGCTGCGGGCATCCTCCGAGGGAGCTGCAGCCAGGACATGAGCGAAACTGCTGCTGCTGCTGCTGCTGCGAGCTTGCTGCTGCTGCTGCTTCATCATCGGAGGACGTGAGCGTCTCTGCAGAGTTGCCGGGGCCCCAGGCTGCTGCTGCTGGCAGCAGCAAATGAGGCGGCGGCGGCAGCTGCTGCTGCAGCACGTGCCGCTGCAGCAGCAGCGGGGAGCAGCAGCGGCTGCTGTGGCTGAAGATGCGGCGGATGCCTCTGGGCTTCTTTCGGGCGTAGTGACACCGCACGACGTGAACTGGCCCTCTTGCTGCTGCTGCTGCTGCTGTTGCTGCTGCTGCTGCTGCGTCTGCTGCTGCTGCTGGTGCTGAGGGAGGGGGAAGAGGAACTAGAGGCGGACACGGCAGCATTGGGGACGGGAATCCCTCAATTCAGTGCCAACTGCCCTAAACTCTAAACCCTAAACCCTAAACCCTAAACCCTAAACACTAGACCCTAAACCCTTAAGTATAGGAGTGAACAGTTCCCGGAAATCCCCGGTTGATCTGCTCGAGAGCGTTTCATAAAAGGCGAGGCCAGGGTAGACTGCTTAGGTGCTGCGGATTAGGGTTTAGGGTTTAGGGTTTAGGGTCTAGCGCTACATGGCAGGGTCTCGCGGCATGAGAATGCCTAGCGGCAGGTTTCAGGGCTTGTCCTTCTGCTTCTATTCAAAACAAAATTGATAAATAAAACAAAAAGATAAACGCTAAACCCTAAACCCTAAACCCTAAACCCTCGTCTGCAGGGGCCTCAGCGGCTGGATCGAAGCCCAGCCCCTGGCGATCACCTGCCCAAACCCTCACTCTAAACCCTAAACCCTAAACCCTCGCATCTAGTTCTCAAATTATTTAACTTGATCAAATAGATTAAAGCGTTTACCGTCCAAAACGTAAACCCTAAACCCTAAACACTAAACCCTAGTCAGCGGCGGCGAGGTCACCTGCGGCGACAGCCCGAAACCCGCGAGCCTCGGGCCTCCCAAACCCTAAACCCTAAACCCTCGTAGCAAACAGTCCTCTATACACCCTAATTAGTGCAGCAAATGATAAAAATGAAAAGAAAAAGTCAAAAGCTAGAACTCCTAGGCCCTCGGGACTCAGCTGTACGTACACCCCGTGTGCGGCTGCGAACTTGGGGCCTCTGAACGCCATATAGGCGCTGCTGCAGCTGCTGCTGCTGCTGCAGCTGCTGCTGCAGCTGCTGCTGCTGCTGCTGCAGCTCCTGCTGCTGCAGCTACTGTCGCTGCTGCAGCTGCTGCCCCTTCTGCTGCCACTGCAGCTGCTGCCGCTGCTGCGCTTGCTGCTGACTGCAGCTGCTGCCGCTGATGCAGCTACTGCAGCAGCAGCAGCTGCTGCTGCTGCTGCTGTTGCTGTTGCGGCGCTCGCGCAGCTGATGCGCGGCTCTTTGATGCGGAAGAGGCGCACGGTTTAAACTAGGGTTTAGGGTTTCCTTCTGACTTCGACGCTACACCCTAGTGCTTAGGGTTTAGGGTTTAGGGTTTAGGGTTATTTCCAATTCAAAGCAACCAGCAATGTAGTCACATTGTCTTCAGACCCTCGCCGAATTGCTTCGCAGGTCAAGTCCTTCGCCATCTTCTCCAGCGATTCCCGCGATAAAAACCTAAACCCGCAAACCCTAAACCCTCAACCCTAAACCCTAAACCCTAAACCCTAAACACTAGACCCTAAACCCTGGAGGCCCGAGTGGCCAAGCGCACTGAACCTGTCATAGGGCAAGTAGCCACCAAAGGTCCCTCACCGAGCTGGGAAGCTCAACCCAACCCCGCTTAACCCTAAACCCTAAACCCTAAACCCTAAACCCTAAACTCTCGAGTAGTCACCCTTTGCATTGTTTGACTGGGTGTTCATTTGCTGCTGCTTCTTCTTCGGGGGCATCTGAGGACGGGTCGGAATCAGAGTACCAGCCGTCTCTCCTTTGCTTCCTCATCCGCCTACTGCTGCTGCTGCTGCTGCTGCTGCTGCTGCTGCTGCTGCTGCTGAGAGCAGCAATTTGCTGCTGCAGCAGCTGCGCCACCTCCTGGCTGCTCAGGGCGTCCCAAAGGCCGTCCGAGGCCAAAACCAAAAGGCAGTCTCTGTAGGCTTGAAGAGGTCTAGAAATAAATAAACAAATAAATAAATAAAATAAATCAATAAATAAATAAATAATAAATGAATAAATAGATAAATAATAGGCAAATAATAAATAAATAAATAATAAAATGATACGAATGAAATAATAAACAAAATGATTTAAATGGATTTTGTGTTTTAAATGAAATCAATAAATTGCAGAATCTGCGAAGTTGAAAAAAAGAAAAAAGTAAAAATCAAAAAATGAAAATTAAAAAAAATTAAAAGAAATTCAGAAAGAAGAATAAAAAATTAA